TGCTTACCATCAGGTGGGATCGCAGTCATGCACTAGATTATTGCAAGTAAAAAAAAACTTACTTACTGTTGAATGAACTGAGAAAAGCTCTACTAGTTTCAATTCACAACGGGACTCTTATTACACTTACTACTCTTACGGCAATGCTGTACAGCCAAATATATTTCAATTCAATTGGCTTTCAATATATTTAAATTTATTTGTAATTCTTATTGTCTGGTGAAGTCACTTGAGATGAAATAAGATACAGAATTTTTTTTTAATGAACAAATTTCTTTATTTTTTTTACTTTTAAATCGCTTAAGTAAAAAAGGCATACCTACACGCAACTTTTTTGAAAATGAGTTTAGTATTTGTTACCTAACTGGTGCAGGATAATCAAATATTTTTGGACAGACACGATAAAAAGAAAAAGAAATTATGAACATATAACATGATGTAACTAATAATAGTCAAAATAATGAAACCATCCAGTTGTTAGGTTGGCGAATTGTTACGTCTACGAAAAATAAAGCATTTCTGAACACATGAAATATTTTCAATGTTTTATTTGATGTGAGAAATATTATTATTGTAAGTACATACTATTTGGTTTACTGTGGAAAGCTAAATAAACTTTTGAACTAGAAATAAAAACTATTTTTTTATATATACTGATATTTTTTTAAAAGGGACAAAGCATCAAATGCCTTTTCTAGCCCTGAGTGGGGCGAGAAGAGTGTCAGTCTCTTACTGACTAAATACACCGTTCCTTCTGCTCCAGGGCGAGGCCACGTTACCTTATGGCGCTTGCTCCGCAACCCTGGCTAACTATCGGACCTGTTGGTTCTCATCTGTACTGATTTATTGGCTCTTTGAGGCATGATATTATACCTAAGAAGTGTAGGAGAGCCAATCGTCGGCTCGACCGGAGTGATACCATGGCCTCATAGAAAACCGGCGTGAAACAATATTGCGTTGTGTTTCGCCGTGTGAGTGAGGTTACCGGAGGCCCAATCTTTCCCCTCCCCCGATCCCTTCCCAATCCCTTAATCTCCAAAACCCTAATCCCTAAAATGTGTCCATGGGCGGCGCTGATTGCTTACCGTCAGGTAATCCGCTGCTCGTTTGCCGATCAATTACATAAAAAAAAGACTCGATCAAGGAAGCAGTTTTAGAGCGCTCTCACACAATGTCCGGTCCGCATCCGATCGGAATTTATGAAAATATAGTTTGTTATAGTCAATAACTATTTCTGGGGTAGTTTATGCACTATATGCAGTATCCGTCATCAGCTACTGGATCGCATTGACTGCCACGCAATGAGCGTCGTGTTCGATTCCCGCACGGAACATGTCTTTGTTTGATCCACAACTTGTAGTTTTTTATTTTGGATCTGAGTGCCAAGTTTATGTGATATCTTTTACTTACAAAGGCACAAAAAAGCACTACAGCATTTTAATGAAACGTTATACCAATTAAAAAAAAATTTCTTTTTCAATATCCTAATTTTATCCGTCATTGTTTCGGATCGGATTCAGATCACAGCTAAGTAGTGCGGAAGCGTTCTTATTCTTTAGGTTAAGCGTGCTAAGTGTTCACTACTAGGTTATGCACGACCTTATTGTATGTATATCTTCATAGCAATAATACTACAAGTTTTACAAACCAAATTATAATCTCATTATGCAGAGGTTTTTGCAAGACGAGGAAAGTTGTACGTAATTACATTGCACTTTCTAATTGTGTCAGACATTTCCTAGCAGAACAATTCGTAGAGATTGGATGCATGATATCCGTGCGATAATACAATTTAGCATTTAGATGCAGTTTCAGGGTGAAGCAATGTTTTGTGTGCAAATGTCTAATGAGAATTTCAGTGCAGTGAAACATTTATGGTAATTATATTGTAACGAATTTTTTTTAAGTTTTTTTTTTGTTTCATTTTTAAAACTTTTGCTAATGTAACCTCTTGAAATGTTTTGAAACGTCGGGTCATGTGCAATCGGTCGAAATTTTGATTTAAGGATTATTCCTCGTGTCTACATAGATTCACGCATTAAGATTTGGGGATGTTTTACCTGGGCTTATCATTGCGAAACTTATATTGCTATCGATAAATATCATCACGTAGAAAACTCAAGATATGATGTTACAAAAAAATGGCATGAAAAGTTGGTACACAATTACTGACTCAAATGTTTGTTTTCTCACGAAATCTATTAAAAGTGCTCATAGGCTATATAATAATGGAGCAAAACAGAAATGATAGAATTTAAAGGGGTGAATAAATACCAGCACAATATGTCAATAACACTATTCATTAGTCACACAGTAAAGTAATGTTGTGTGGGAGACTAAGTATGTATGGGATAAAAAATATAAGGAGTTATGATTTGATACGAATGGGCCGGCTCGATCCTCAACTCGAACACCCCAAACAGCTGGCAACGCAATCGTAACTCCTCTCGCGGGGTTGCGGGGCAAGAGCAATGAGGCACCGCGGCTTCGGCCTAGAGCAGGAGAAGGAACGGGGTAGTTTTTAGTCAGTAAGAGTCTGACAATCTATCTCGCTTTACCCTGGGCTCGAGAATTCATTTAAAGATTTTCCCCTGACAAAAACAACTCCTCTGATGTTCCACCCATCCATCCATCTGCTCATTTACCATCCTATCATATAAAAAAGTAACATGAATACAAAAACTCGATTGCCTTTGTGAAATGGCGGAAAGCAGAAATTATAGAGCGCTATCTACTAAGATATTTGACAATGCTCTGCACCTGGCCTTTTCTAGAACTTTTTAATTAAGTCAGATTAATCTATGTATACTTGTTTTTCTTCTTTAATGTAAAAAAACATGAATTTAAATAATACATTTATTTGTGACGGATCCAAGGTCAAATCAAATAAGGCTAATACCAACCCACTGATGATGATTTTATTACCTAATAAAAAGATTTTTTATTTTAGTATTTAGAAAAAAAAGGCTATATTTATTACCATTCAAAAGGCATCAAGTATCTTTGAGAGAAGAATGTGAATGGATGTAGCTTTTAACAGGCAGGTTTAAAATTATTTGGAGAAGACCTGCAGATGTTCTATGGTGAGTGTTTGTCCGATGTTGGTTGTTAGTCCGATGGTAATCTCAAGAAGGAAAATGTGTGCAAAATCTTTTCTGAAAACAATACCGCCAGTCTGGACACTTTCTCCGTCGATTCAAATTTTTAATTACCAATTCATCTTTCGAAAAAATATAAATTATTTCGGCTCTTTAAGTTTTGCTTAGGTACAATTTTTAAACAAACGATGAAAGCTAGAAATGTTAATAGCCAGTATTTCTGCTAGCACGCTAATGCAACCTTAACATACATTATAAACTACATTGAGAGTTTTGAAACGGTTTCCTTCGAAGATTGCAAGTGCGGAACGAAGTTACAAAATGCGTTACATTTGGTTCCACTGGAATTCATATTTGTAACCCCTCTAGGTAGGAACCAGTCAAACTTGATCGCACATCTTAGGTTGTATGTACGAGTAAATCCTAGAGATCTACTTTTTTGTGAGCGAGAAGTATAATATATCATTATAAATTCAACTAGGTTTGAAAAGAACTACGGAACCAACATGTCATTAAGATACCTAAGTGCATAATATTTGCCATAATATTTCGATGCAGAAACTAGAATGACAAACTTTCTCGACTTTGCTCTACTTTTTATTTATTTATTTTACACTTCTTGCACAACGTACAATGGCGGACTTAACGCCTTAGGCGTTCTCTGCCAACTAGCGAAGTGACCCAAAGGTAGACCCTTTGGGTGGAGAAATAGGAGTGGTAGGTGCATCTTCTTGATAAAAAAAAATATAAATAAAAATAAAATTATAAATGAAGGATCGCGGTAATGAATGGAATCATTTACTAACTCTAAGTAAGAGTAAGTCTAAGTAATCATTAAATAATAATCAGTAAATCAGTAAATCGGGGCGGCTGCTCTGGCAAACGAGCAGACGGATTATCTGAAGGTAAGCAATCGGCGCTGACTACTGACTGAGGTGTCCATACACCAGAAGAGTTGCAAGTGCATTGCTGGCCTATTGGGGAATTTAGTTATAGGAATGGACGGTATTGAATAGTAATCCATGGTTAAACGAATTAGTGGTTGTTTCACGCCGGTTTTTTGTGAGGCCGTGGTATCACTCCCGTCGAGCCGGCCTATTCGTGCCAAAACCTGGCTCTGCCATACTTTTTTCATTCTGCCAAGATACGTTATATTACTCATAGAACCTACGAATCAATACCAAGTTGCCGCATCGAGGAATGTCGCATCGCCAAAGGTTAAAAATCTCAAGAAGTAACAGAGATATAAATAACTAGCTGCACACATTCGCATTTATGTTTGTCAGGATTATTTTCTTTAATAAATCTCATTGGAACATGACTAATCTTCATAAATCCTACGTCAAACTTTAACAAAAAGAAACATTTATTTAGTTATGTAACACAGTCACCAGCTTTAAACCTTTCGGAAATTATGGAAAGAATTAATGGAAACTAAAAGTTTCTAATTGATGGACAAACACGTGTAAGTATTTGTTTGTATTAATAATACTCGTACTTTCGATAGGTAAACAGAAGACAAATCAACAATGGTGTAAGTTACGTAGTAATAGATTAGTAAAAGTTATAAAAAATCTGCGTTGGTACATTAAGTACCTACCATGAAACTATTGAAACAGTTGAACTACTTTTTTCCTTAAGTTTCATATTTCAGCAATAGTAAAGGCAACGCATTGATTCTACGGCGCAAGCAAACGGAACGGGTTACAAACAATTCCTGTCCTCCTACCAATAACATTTAAAAAACAAACGATAGATTTCGCCCTTGTGCCATTGTTGTTGTTTGCTCACGGTTAGCGATGCGAAAAGTGAGTAGTCAAGTCTCGTGGTACGGGGTCTGTCCGTTTGAACTGTTTGGTCCACATGTCTGTGAAACCGCTTTTCGTCACTTCGCTAGTTGAGAACGAACCGTCTGTCGTAGCGTTCGCGCGTTAGGCGCCCGGTAGTGTAGTGGCCGAACTATTTGTTACAAATAATAAATGTTTAGGTAGTTGCCAAAACAATTTTCAGTGACAATGAAAGTGTTTGTTTGCTGCCTTTTCATAATTGCCAACATCAGCAATAATGGAAAAGCCTCTCTTGAGAGTTTTGCGCCCTCTGGGACTAATATACTCTTTGAGGATACCACGAAAAATTTAGGTATGGTTTTTTTCTACAATATTATGAAGAAATTATATTTACAGTTAATTTACAGAAATACCGCCTTTTTAATTAATTCATTGTAGAATGTGTAAATTTTTAGTCTAGAAGTTTTTGTGTATAAATTTTAACAACATAATTGAAACATTTTAATTCTGTCAATGTTATTTACATACATATTGTGATTAATCGAATTTACCTATACTAACAAAAACAACTACACTCCATACATTTTCAAGTGCAAACATTTAATTAATTTAAAATAAAATTAATCGTTTCTGTGATTACATTGCAGATAAAGCATCTTGTTACCGACCTTGCAAATTCAACGTGAAGCCGAAACGGTGTCACTATAACTTTAAAGTGGAACCAACAATCCAGGAGGATGGACGACCAGCTATCACCATTAACGGACAGACTCCAGGACCACCCATCCACGCCTGTGTTAACGATATCATCGTGGTGGAAGTCCAGAACAGCATTCTAGACCAGGACATAAGTATACATTGGCATGGCATTGAGCAGAAAGGAACTCCTTACATGGACGGAGTTCCTATGGTGACCCAATGTCCAATAGCATATGGGCAAACCTTTAAGTACGCGTTTGTTGCTACTTCACCTGGAACTTTCTTCTACCATGCTGATTCAGGTACAAAGTCAATGACATTTTTTTTAATTTATTTTACTTCCAATTACTTGAGAGATAATTTTTGTTGTCCCTGCAGTTTGGACTCTGCCAGTTCTTTTTTCAAATTAGGGCTTTGTTAAGTTTCATTTGTCTTTTATGTGTGAGTTTTTGTTACAGTGTCACATCAGAGCGATGGTGTTTATGGCCCACTGATAATAAATCAACCGCAGCCGTTGGAACATCACTCATCTCTGTACGATTACGACAGGAGTGCTGAGAACACGCTAACAATAGGAGCTAAGTTCCCAGAACTGTTGACTGCTAAGCTAGAAGATGTTAGCAAATTTAAGCCAGATGCCCTAATTATAAATAGCGACAGAGACGTATCTAAGTAAGTTTTAATTTAGATCCCAGATTTTTGATGCATTTTTAAACCTTTTGAGAACGTAGTTGTAGTCTGATTGATACCTATTTGCGAAGAACGCCCTGACCTTCACAAACTTATAAGTGGTCCATATGTTTTTCTTGCGTTTACGAAACTTTTTGCCTTCTTTTTAGTAGTGCGTAAATCAACACAATACATATACAGCTTAGGATCTTTCCTTCAAGAAATGAATGAACATATTTATTATTTTTGAATGTTTCTACATAATCGAAAAACCCATCGCATATAATGCGATAGCGATGCAAACCCAAGTAAATTGTTTATTTACAAGCGAAAAAGAATAATGACCTATAGACCTTCAATTCACTTTGCTGCATTGTACATTCCGTCCGTCGTTAATATAGGAGCATTAAGTAATTCATTGAGTACTTTATTTCTAATGGCTCGTAATGCCGGTAGTTAGTCCATAAAGAAAGTCAACTGGTTTTGTAAACTACCAGTTATTTGTAAGAAACTGGTAGCGTAGAGAAGCCATTTATATGTCGATGACATATTAATTAGTAGATCTTCAAGAAAGGTAAAACTTCTTTTAAATAAGATGGAAAATTGATTAAAAGTTGGGCCTATTGAGGACCCCCCCGTGACTGACAGGACGCCAAGGTTGGTGTATATAATAGTCAGTAAGAGTCTGACAGTCCCTCTAATCTCCAGGCGAATGGGCTCCATGAAAATTATAGACATATACAGACATACAGAGCCAAAATTTATAATAATTTATCACCTTGGGGCAAAAAAGGATGCAGTTTCGAGTTTATATTTAACATAGGGCAACGGACTTGTACTTGACAAGAAATAAATGAAGATATTACTTTGTTACGTCCACATCTACAATTCACATCGAATCGTCCAAAATTTTATATATGAGTTAGTTATTATCGATTCAATTCTATCTAATATTGTTTTTAGTAAGCTTATATCTGTCACATTACGTACTAATAATTAATCCGTCCGCAGTCAAATGGTACATTACTTTCAAGTTTATGATTATAGTAATATTTTGAATTAGGTACGTGAAACTGCAGTTGGCATTGAAGTTTGTGGTTTGCTAGTTACCTTGTGTAGCGTACTTACATTGCACGACCTTTCTATTCAGTGCACGTTGTTATATTCTTTCCAATAAGTTCATTTTTTATTATGTAAAAAGCCTATTCTACTTTAGCACAAATGAGGACGGAGACGGAGATACTATGAGTTTTTTAGTCCATAAATATTTGTTTTATATTGTGGTGGTAATACACATAATTTATTTTCTTATTAGTATATTATTATAGTCTATTATTTTGTATTAATATTATTATGTCCTATTTCACAATATATAAATGAAATTAACTAAAATTCGCGGGTTACTCACGTGTAAATGTTGAGAAAAGCTCTACTAGTTTCGAACCACAGAGGGGTTCTTCCTCATGAGCAGGGTGCGCGGACGCGGCGACGTCGCGCAGCCTACTCGAATTTTAGTTAATTTAGTATGTCTCACAATAGTTATTATAAAAATATATAAATGGCCGCTATTTTACATTCAAACAAAAAAAATAATAATAAGGAAAGTTGATTGCCCTCTGCGTTGCATAAATTGATCGGAAACTTATATGGATTTGATGAAAAAGGCGCTTAGTCAATTTAAATTATTATTGATAGCGGTCAAGCGCGAACCTATAATCAATAAAAAAAATTGGACAGAAACAACTGAATTTTTTAATACGACTGACCTCTTTACATTATGGATTTATCCTAAAATACTTTTGAAAATGAGCAATTTCTTTTTTCAGAATTGTCGTCATAGCTGGGTTTGCGTACAGACTGAGGTTTATAAATGCTATCGCAACCGAGTGTCCCGTGATAGTTACTATAGAGAAACATGAAATGGTAGTGATTGCAACGGACGGGAAACCAACCAAACCAGTTCTAGCTAGAAACGTAGAACTACACCCAGGTAAGGAAGCTATTACTTAAGATTAGATAAACATTTACAACAATAGGTAAGATTTAGCAATACTGTTGCTAATAGATAGACTGAATCAACGATGAAAGAAAAGGATTTTAATTCGTTTACGATATGAGACTAGCGAGTTGATTTTTTAAAATTAATTTATTATTTTTATAAACATCTCTGTACAAGGTAGACTTAATGACATAAGCAGGAATCGGTATGTGCAAGAAGCAAGCAAAGTCAAATGAAAAGTGAAATTACCAATTATATATATTATACACTTGTATCATTGAAAAGTAAAAAAATATACGTATGTATTGGTAATTACATGTAATGTTTACATTTTTAAATACTAAAAGCCCAGAGTATAGTGTCTTAGTTTTTACATTACCTAAACCTAGTGAAGATAGGCTTTTCTTTCTGCATTCACCTTTTTTCTTTGTTGTTTATGTAAACAAAAATGATGAACGTGACTTTATTACCTATTATCTACATATTTAAGTGTTGTTTAATGTCAATATAATCATTTATAGGTATTTATTTACTCGTAAAGTTTTAATTGTTTAAATCTGTTTGTGTTCTTCAAATTAAATTATCGTCTCAAGTTATATTTAGTTTTAGTTTGATTTGGAATTGGTTAGGATAATACTAGTTTCAGTGTTTTGTTTTGTTTTTAACTTACAACCTTCTAGCTTTTGCCCGCGACTTTGTTCGCGTGGTATAGTGAGTTTCTGCAGATTTTTGGTTAAAAACTATCCTATGTCCTTTCTCGAGGTCCAAACTATGTCTGTACCAAATTTCACAGAAATAGGTTCAGTAGTTTAGGCATGAAGAAAAGACAGACAGACAGACAGAGTTACTTTCGCATTTATAATATTAGTTTGGATTGCTTGGTGATAGATTCGCTTCTGTTATAAAATGTTCTAGGCAGTAGGCAAAATAAACACGCGATTATTTTGTTGTTATTTAATTTGGAGGTCATGGGTTTTATTTAGCCTTGTAACATCTAATTCCTTAACCTTGACAAGATGTGATAGCTTTATGAATATTAAAAATAAAACATTTGTCTACTAAACATATGAGGTCTGTCGTAATGCGTTGCTCAAACATTTTGCAAGTTGGCCTCCGATCGCGACGGACTGAATGCAGTTTACCATTTTTATTAACACCCAAATCCGTTTTGGCAATTGATCAAATTTGATACTTACAACGCTTACATAAAACTCATTTTCCCAAACCAAGTTGTCATTAATGCATGAAATTGATCACTTAAGTGAGTTTTTGTGATTATGAATGAGTATTAAGCAGTCGATACTTATTGACAGTGCAAAGTCTTAATTTGAATCTTGACAACAATAGTCTAAGTTAATAACATTTATACCATCTTATCCATAAATTAGTAGTTTTAAAACGTCTAAATATAATAATAGGCTGTCAGTATGTTCGTCAGTGGAGCTAGGTGCTCGTTCCAAAAACAAGTTTTAAAAAAAGAACAAATCATGGAATTCCTCATCATTTAATTTTAAATCCTTTATCATCTCGAACATCAACATTTATCATTACATATTCATACTGGCAATCCAAAATAACGCTTCTATATAAATTGTATCCTTAAATAATAATAATAAAAAAATGTTTGATCCTACAATTATTAAGGATTCATAATAAATTTAAAGTCAACTTTTGCATGGATAAAAGGAAGTACAGTACTTTGATTTCGCACATTGCATATGCTTAAGTGGATTACAGTCATAGAATGTGTAATGATGCAAATTTAAAGGAACACAAGATCTAAACTTACATAACAGAATATTTATTAGCACCTATTTCACAATTTATGTATGTCCGTAAAAAGCAAAGACAATAAACTTGACGAATAAAACCCTTAGAGGCGAGAGAGCGAACGGAATCTGTTATATGATGGAATAAGCTTTTACTTCGGAGAAAGTGGCATCAGCTTCAATTGGCTGAATGAATAACGTGCTACTAGCCACATAACTTTTATGTCTAGTTATCGAAACATTACAAGATTTATAACGTGTGTGAATGAAAAGTTCACAAGTAATGTGAATTTCTTTTTTATTCGATTGTGTAAGTGTCAGTAATGACTCGGATTGTGGATGGAAATAAACGCAAGCACCTGATTTAAGCAAATGAATCGGCAATATACCAATCGTAGAAAATTATAGTTCAGATACCAATTAGGTACTAGGTATTTAGTTCAATAATAAAACAGTTTTAATGAAGTGGTTTTTTTCCATTAAGGTTGCCCCTTAATTGTAAACAAAATAGGTGTTTTAATTTGGTAGAGAAATTAAAAAAAATATATATCTATGGAAACTTTGGGTGTCATGTAGATGATAGATTAAAAACAACATTCATCAGAATTTTAAATACATTTTTCAAATTCAAATTTAAATACATTTTTAAACAAATATTAAAAATTACTTTTTTAAAAAGATAATTTAATTATAATAATTATTGCATGTAATATAACATCCATAAAATTAGTAGATATTCGTTTTATTTGTAACTGACACTACGTGTATTTGTATTCTTAACGTACCTATTCTTGTTTATACAGTAACAAAAAGACATAATCCAATCGGGCTTTCAAATTGTTAATAGCTGCTTTTAGATTTCTATTTACTCTATAACGGTACTAGCTCTAGGCGTGATTTTTTGTTCGTTGACCAAAGTATTAAAAAGTGAATTTATTTTCTCCTCGTCTAGTAAGAGGAGAAAGGTATGCATCTTGCCTTGCTCGTGTTACTTCTCAGTAAGTTTAAGGTCACCGTTAACCAGTTTCGTTGCAATGTTTTCACTTTCTATTGTTTTTTAATAGTTTTCTAAGTAGTTTTAATTTGTAATTTTCTTTCTCCATGTCATGCAAAATAATTGGTGTAACAAAGTCCACTTGGCATATTATTTGAACTACTTACTTATTTAGTTAATTTTAATTTTGTGTCTGTTTAATATTAATGAGTTGCTTTAACGTCGAGTTTCGTTTGAATTATATGTTTTTGATTAATATAAACAGGGTCACTGACAGCGTTTGAAACTAAATCAAGATCAGAAAATGGATAAACTGTCAGTAGCTGTGTTATTTGATTTTATTTTTCTCGTTTTCATGGAAACTTAATGACAAGTGCAATAAATTGTAGACTTATTTTATTCGGTTTCCTTAATGATTTTTTATTTTTAATAAAGACTGTGCCCTACCCTAGGATTTTCTACTGTGTCGTGGGTGCGTTTATAAACATACAATTTCACATACACACATCATACCCAAACCCGGAACAACAATTTGTGGATCACACAAAGAGTTGTTCCGAGCAGGAATCGAACTCGTGACACGTTAAACGGCAGCCAGTTGTCTAGCCACAGTAGCAACCGTGCAGTCGATTGGTCGGTCGTAAATTGGTATAATGATGTAGTTTTAATTACAATTTTTATTTTTTTGTTCTTCAAGGTGAGCGTATGGATGCAGTAGTGCGTGCATCAGAGGAAGGCGGCGGTTACTGGGTGAGAGTGCATGGTGCAGGACCATGCACTGGTCTCGGTGCCAACGCGATGCTCATCTATTCTGGATTTAACTACACTGCTATGTTGGAGGAGAACCAGGTATTACCATAATATATTTCCATTAACTGCCGAGAATAGGCCTCACTATAATTATATTACTGAGCTGGATCGTCAGTTATTTGCGAAGATGATGATGGTAGGTGCGGTGGTTGGCATCCGACTACAGAGCAACTCATTGTGTGACCTACAAAGTGTTGCTTGGTTTGATGGGTGAAATTGAAAACGCCACAGGAGAAAATCATAGTGTGGGGTAATGTTTTTCATCATCATCATCATCATCATCATCATCATCATCATCGTCATCATCATCATCATCAGCCCATAAGTGCCCACTGCTGAGCAAAAACCTCTTCTCACACGGGGAATGTTTGAGCATTAATCACCACGCTTGCTCAATGCAGGTTGGCGATTTCAAACTTATAATGAGAAATTATAAGTCCAGGTTTCCTCACGATGTTTACCTTCACCGTATGTCAGTGGTGTCTAAATAATCATAGAAAGTGCATATAACTCGGAAAAAGTCACATTGGTACTTGCCAGGTTTCGAACCCACACCCTCATGTATGAGAAGCGGGCTCTTTAACCTCCGGGCCACCACGACTTCGATGGTAATGTTTTTAAATATATGTAATTATTTGTTTGTTTGTTTGTTTTTCCAGAACGAGTATAAGCAAGAATCATTCGCATCCGACCTGGTAGTGAGTGGTCAAATGCTGGAGTCTCTCCAAGACCAGAGCCATGCGTCGGAAGTGAAGTCAGTGTACTTGGGTATCGACAGAAATATCATTGAAGTGAAAGAAGCTGATCTTGATTTTAGATACATTAGTGACGCTATACCTAAGAAACCGTTCTTCCCTGCTGCATTCGGTAAGTACCTACTGTTTGTCTTTTGTTTTATACTTTTCCCGGATAATATTTTCCTTAGCATGTTATAGTGCTTATAGATGTTTGATAATTGGCTTTTGTCCAAGTTAGATTTACATTGTTAATTTCAGACATGTATTTACTGATTATATTTGTGTTTATGAATAATAATTCTTATACATTCCAGCCCTTCGCGAGAATGGTGTTGTCCAAATAAACAGAAAGAGTTTCTTGTATCCTAATGTGCCGGTATTATTACGACCTCGGGATGTGAGACAGGACATGTACTGCCAAGTAGGGGAGGAAGAGAAGCAGGTGGAAGCTCAGTGTATCCAAGTTCTGGACGCTGTTGAAGGAGATGTGCTAGAGATTGCACTAGTTAATGAAGGTGAGTATGCTTTGAATTGTAGCGTAGAATATGCACCTTGCATCTACTATATTTTTGTGTACTATCTTAAGACTTATCTACTTATTGCAAATAACGACTTACTCGCAGATTTAAAGGAGGAAAGATGTTCTAATTTCAAGTCACAATGGGACACTTTTCCATTATGAGCGCGCGATCACGAATTTTTAAATCTGAAATAAAATAAATTGTAATGGAATGAATGGCAAAAATAAAACACGCAAACCATTTTGGTTGACACAAAACATGAAAACTGCTGTCAGTTTTGATAATTTATTTAAGACCTAGTTAGTATTACAGAATAAAAGGGAGATGCACAAAAATCTTTGAATTGTATGGAATAATCCTTGCAAGCAAAACTGGTGAATGTTGAACAAAATTTTATTACTTTATTTGAATTTTCAGGCTTCGGCAGCAATGACTCGTACACATTCCACATGCATGGCTACAATATGCAGGTGATCTCCACATGGCAGAACCCCAAAGACAAACCTATCTCTAAAGAAGACTTCCAGAAGTTGAATAAAGATGGAAAAATATTAAGGTACTTTTAAATATTCCAATTGGATTACTTTTTTATTACACTGATAATAAGGTTCATAATAGCGTATGTGAATACGATCTAGACTATTAAAAATGTGTATAGTAATATAGGCTTAAGTTGTAGCGAGGTTTTAACAAAATATAAATTAAAAGCGATCGTATCTACCTCTCCTCATATGCTACCCAAGTGGATTTTGCGTATAGTAACAAATTATTATTTGACAATTGTTAGTCGAACTAAATTTAAATAATGTTATATAACAAACTTACTTATAAAACCGGTTTCGGGGATATTCGAATTCTTTACTTGAAACAAGTCGAGACTTGAAGTAGGTTATGTGAGTAATTCGTAATCATAAATGTATTCTATGTTTAAATAGAAGATAATCATTGAGAGAACAATTTCTAGCATGAAAAATATTCTAAGATGATTTATGTGTTACTATAATTACTATACGGGTAATTTATCTTCGAATCTACATAGAATTAGCTATGGAACCTTTACGTAAAATAATGTAATAAACTTCAAAACATTTCCATGGCTTGCACCGGATTTCTAGAACTTTCTCTTTTATGGTGAAGCTGAGCGATGCGATTTGAACGTGTCGTTATTACTCAAGAGTTTTCTAATACCACCTACATTATCTGCATAATGACGTCTTGTAAATCGAGGGAAATTATTATTATTATTTTCTCTATTAGAGTTGTTCCGGTCTAAGTGCGTGGTAGTTAGCCAGTAACCCAGTGTTAGGGAATCTTTTCTCTAATATTAAACAAAATATTGATATAAATGAAGATCTTATTACACGTACAATAGGAGGTCTATTCAATTGTTTTAAATTTCTTTTTCAGAAATCTCCAAAACCCACCAGTGAAAGACACGATCACAGTGCCAAACAAAGGCTACACGATAGTGAGGATCAAGATAGACCGTGGTGGAACTTGGCTCCTGGAGTGCAGGTCCTGTGCTCTGTCCTCAGTGCCAGCTGCCATCATGATCAGGGTACCAGAAGCGATACCCAAGGCTGTGGTAGACTCATTGCCCAAGTGCGGCAACTACAGACCACCGGACGTTTTACTGAACTAATCCTTCCAATAGACTGATAGTGTGCTTTGGTCTTGTGATTTTAGTGTGTATTATTTATAAGTATGTTTGTTATTTATGTAGTTTAAGTGAAGGATACAATAATGCTCCTATAAATACTCAGTCATACTCTGACAGTGAAGAAATGAAATGAGAAAGCTAAAGAAAGTTTGACGAACTTCGGAAATAGATCTTGGAAAAGATACTAATTCGAAAAACTATGTGTGAATGAACCCTCTAATGAAGAAGGCTATGGTTACCTTGAGAACTTTATTAAGTATACAATATTGATATTCTGGTATTCAAGAGAATGACAGGATCTGAAATTTTAGTCTAATCAATTATGTGAATCTGCAGTGACTTTATTCCAATCGTGTTTTAAAAGAAGGTGGTAAAGATACCGACCTCGGCACACTCCGATCTCGATGAGGTGGAGGAGATGTTCGATGATATATCGAGGGCCCTCCACTCCACCACTAGGACTCACTTCAACATTGTTATGGGGGACTTTAACGCCAAAGTGGGAGTACAAAATTGCAGTGAATCGGTAGTAGGATCCCATGGGTATGGAAACAGGAATCATAGGGGGCAAATGCTCGTCAATTTCCTCGAACGGGAGGGGATGTTCTTAATGAATTCATTCTTTAAGAAGCAGCCCCAAAGGAAGTGGACGTGGCAAAGCCCCGACACTATGACAAAGAACGAGATCGACTTCATCATGGCGGACAAAAGGCACATATTCAGAGACGTCTCCGTGATTAATAGGTTTAATACCGGTAGCGATCACCGACTCGTCCGAGGCTCTCTGAATATCGACTTCAGAGCCGAACGAGTCCGCTTGATGAAGGCCAGGCTCCGACCAACCCTGTTTCAAATCAAAATGGGATCTGAAGCGTTTCAGTTAAACCTGGAGAACCGATTTGCTGCCCTGGAAACCACAACCGACGTTAACCGGAACCTTGAAAACGTGGTTCGAGTTCTCAGGGAAGAAGGTACGAGATTTTGTGAAATGCAGCGTAAGGGCAAGAAGTCGAAGCTTTCGGAAGAGACTTTAGGGCTTATGAAGAGACGACGTGAAAACCCACCCGTCACTTCGTCAGAGAAGCGGGCTCTAAACCGAGAGATTAGCAAACACGTGCGACACGATCTCCGGTGCTCGAATACCCTTGCAATCGAGAGAGCGATCGAGCAAAACCGGGGGCCAAAAGTGTTCGTACAATCTCTTGGAAGAAGCCACCTGACGAAGTTGACCACAGCAAGTGGAGAAGTCGTTGTCTCGAAGCCGGCAGTTCTTTCGGAAGTAGAAAACTTCTACGGCCGGTTATACGCTTCGCATGCATCTCGACCTGACCCCGGAAATGAGGACTCTAGAGCCACTTTAATACGCCATTACACCGAAGACCTGCCAGAAGTCAGCATTGACGAAATCGAGATCGCTCTTGGACAGCTTAAAAATGGAAAAGCCCCTGGAGAGGATGGCGTTACGACAGAGCTTCTAAAAGCAGGCAGCAAACCGGTACTCAGGGAGCTGCAAAAGCTATTTAACGCTGTCCTGTTTGAAGGGAGAACTCCAGAGGCGTGGAGTCGGAGTGTGGTCGTCTTATTCTTCAAAAAGGGTGACAAAACCCTACTGAAGAATTATCGACCCATTTCCCTTTTAAGCCACGTCTATAAGCTGTTCTCGAGAGTGATCACGAACCGCCTTGCGCGAAGACTTGACGAATTCCAACCACCGGAGCAGGCTGGGTTTCGGAGCGGATACGGCACCATAGACCACATCCACACAGTGCGGCAGATTATACAGAAGACTGAGGAGTATAATCAGCCCCTGTGCCTAGCATTTGTGGACTATGAGAAAGCCTTTGACTCGGTCGAAATCTGGGCTGTTCTGGAGTCCCTGCAGCGATGCCAAGTAGATTGGCGATACATCCAAGTGATGAGATGTCTCTACGAGGCCGCCACCATGTCCGTCCAAGTACAGGATCAGCAAACAAGGCCGATACCGTTGCATCGAGGTGTGAGACAAGGGGATGTTATCTCCCCGAAATTGTTCACAAATGCAATGGAGGATATGTTCAAGACGCTGAACTGGAAAGGACGCGGCATCAACATAAATGGCGAGTACATCTCTCACTTGCGATTTGCAGACGACATCGTCATCGTAGCAGAAACGCTGCAGGACCTACAACGGATGCTGAATGACCTGGCTGACTCTTCTATACGCATCGGCCTACGGATGAACTTGGATAAAACCAAGGTCATGTTCAATGAACATGTACTACCGGAACCGATTGCAGTACACGGCGCTGTTCTCGAAGTCGTTCAAAAATATGTATACCTCGGGCAGACATTGCAGATGGGTAGAAACAACTTCGAGAACGAGGTGAATAGAAGAATTCAGCTAGGTTGGGCAGCATATGGAAAGCTGCGTCAAGTCTTCACGTCGTCGATCCCACAGTGCCTAAAGACGAAAGTCTTCAATCAGTGCGTCCTACCTGTCATGACATACGGAGCCGAAACGTGGACACTGACGGTGCGGCTGGTTCACAAGCTAAAAGTCACTCAGCGAGCTATGGAGAGGGCTATGCTCGGCGTTTCTCTGCGAGATCGAATCAGAAACGAGGTGATCCGGCAGAGAACCAAGGTAATCGACATAGCCCACCGGATTAGCAAGCTGAAATGGCAGTGGGCTGGCCATATTAGCCGAAGAACCGATGACCGTTGGAGTAGACGAGTTCTTGAGTGGAGACCGCGTCTCGGCAAACGTAATGTAGGACGTCCTCAGGCAAGGTGGAGTGATGATTTGCGCAAGATGGCTGGCAGGAGCTGGATGCGAGTGGCCGAAGATCGATCCCAGTGGCGTGCAATAGGAGAGGCCTATGTCCAGCAGTGGACTGAAAAGGGCTGATGATGATGATGATGGTAAAGATATCGGCGGTAAAATACCAAACAAATACGATAGAGATAAAAACAATATTTTATGAAATTAAAAATATTTATTGAGTGAAATTAAAGAAAATTAAAATATAAAAAATATGATTTCATTACATTTCCTTGATGTTGTAATTAATAAAATCTATGTAGGTGGATACATTTGTGTAGATAGTTGGTGCACCTTTTTGGCCGCAGGGCGAAACACCCCAGGACACGATTCCTATAACTATTGGAACCAAATCATCAGCATTTTGCCTTCCCTGGGGACTTGTGTCATCGTTTATCGTGGTTTCTTCAATTGTTTCAGTAGTTTGTTCATTGTTACAATCATAGTAACTTGCATTGTATCGTTCTGTATTGTCTTCTACTGAATCGTTTGGTTCCAGAATACTGTATGGAACATATTGTATGAGTGGTCCACCTGAGTCTCCACTGCAGGCTGCTACTCCCCCACTAGTTGGTCCTGTGCATATATTTGCATCTCTATCGAGTGGATTTTCTTCGTTATCTTCTTTTAGTTTTTCAATGGCTGCATAGCAATCTGTGTAATTTATTTTTAGATTGAGAAACGTTTTTACTTTTCAGTTAATTGTAATAAAAGATACAAAGCTTGTTTTACACTGTTCTCACACGATGGAACCTACATAACAATGTAATAAAGAATATATTTGCAAAGGTAATTGAAAAGAAGAATTTTGGAAAATCATGGAATGATATCGTTTTGGAACATTTTGGAACCAGCTAGTTTCACTAACAAATTTTTGACGTTTAAGAGTCCCTGTGTGATTGAAAATGATTTTGACTTTGACTTTAAAATTGAGTGCATTTGGACATTTTGAATTTCAAATTATTCTTTATGCTGTAGAAGCTTGAAACTAAAGTTAAAAAAAAGTTCACGAGAAATAAAAACATAGTTACCATTGTATGGGATGTAGGTTACTTTTACTTCCTGCAATCTGCTTGGCAAGTCAGGGAAAAATAATGTGGTTTTCAGTGCACCCCAACCGGGTAACTTGAGTGTGTATGCTCCACGGAATTTGTAATTATTTGGCAGATTAACTGGTTGAATGTATTTTGTGAATTTGATTCGGGTTTCTGTGCTGAAGACGGCTACGTCATAAGGCCCGATACCACTGGAAAGGAATTCATAAAATTAGCTACCCAAAATAATATAATTTACCAAACCCCAAGCTAATGCCGGCAATTGGTGATTCGGGACACAATATAAAAATAAATGGCGTGGGACCGCCGGCGTTCGCTTGAAGTTTGATGAATTAGGCGATCAGTTAGGCATAAGATTTTTTACCCTTCATATAAAGGATGTGGTATTCGTTCGTTGATCTTCATAATCTGTGCTCGCTCTCCGTAGTTATTGACATCGTGAATACCAGCAACGACATCTAGCGGAAGCCATCGTATCAAGAAAGACTCCATTGCACAGTGGGCCGCTGATAAAACCTATAAACGGTTGTAAAAAACATGTTTTAATTACAAATTTTCAGAGTTGGAAAGTAAAAACTCTTATTAACTTATTCTTTTTTGGTTTCATATAAAATATGGTTTCCATAAACATGAAGTATAAAACTCATGCGCAGACAAACGTTGTTTAGAAGATTGCTCAGATTAATTAGTAGGAGGTAAACTTAGGGCAGATTTTTCAATAGTCAGATAAATGTTATCTGAGGAATAAAATTGTTGCTGTCACTGTCTTAAACAAACATTCTAACGCGACAGCATCATAATTATTCCCCAGATAACTTTTATCTAACCATTGAAAAATCAGCCCTTAAATAACATTCGTTTGAGTTAAACTATATCGTTAGGTATTAAATCAAATACATTAAAAATTGAATTTCAAATTAAGAAAAAATATTAATTTTATGTTAGATTGAGATTTTGACTTTAGTTTTGAGCACCAAAAAGAAAATTAAAGGAAACTTTTTTCCACATTTCACTGACAATTTCTTTTGCATGACACAGTTTGTACTAAGGGGTTTTCTCGTTGAAATTATTACGCTGGACTACATTACCCATCTTTCATTGAGGATTGCTCCACCGCAGACGTGTACTCGTACCCATAAGAATCTGCTCTGAAGTGACACTAGATAAGGGTGACTGTGTGGTCTCGCTTCGTGCCCGCCCACTATTCTACTTGACGGCTTTACAGTTTTTGTGTTTACTATAAATATAATTTTTAAATATTAAAAAAGAAACATTACATATTCAAATACATTGATAGAATAGAAATACGCACGTTAATATACACGATATATAAATATATGTATAGGTACTAGGTAGATATCTGCCTATACTTCATTTTTAGTTATTTCTTTACGTTTGCTAATATTCGCCCTTTACTTTTTGGCATTTGATATGATAAAAATTATTTGATACGAGCGCTCGGATCGTCTGATGGTAAGTGATCAGAGCCACCCATGGATACTCGCTACACCAGGAGAAGGCACGGGGCTGGTCTTATAAGATGAAGTACTCTCGTGTTTTAAAGTTTTGAAGATTGTAACGATTCGAAAAATGATTGCATAATTTTGAGAAAATTTTGTGAAAACTGCTCATAAAAAATGACGCGTCTAACTAAATGAAAATCTATATTCGGTGTGTATTCTTTATGTAAGTTTTATGAATCAACATTATTAATTACTGAATAGTGCGAGATATGCAATACGAGTTAACAAAACACAAACCTACCTGTGTTAAGTAAACAAAGTGCAACTGCAATCAGCAGAAAGGTCACAGTGAAGTTCATCGCAATATTTGGCGGATAAATTGTTCAGGAAAACGAGTCTCACCTTCTTATATAACATTGGGTTTAGATAAATCCTTATCTGTTATTCATACTTGCAGAGGCTCAACCTTTTTGCCTGTTTTAAGTTCAAGTATGCCATTATTTTGTAAATCTCTTATGGAGTGATATAATTGGAACATGTTAGAGAGCCATTCTTAGCACACACAACCAGCCGGGTTGGCCTTAGTGATACGATGGCCTCACAGATGCTGAAGATAATATTGGCATTGTGCCAACCCCAAATCCCAAATAATCATCTGACCCGTAACCCTTTACGGGTCTGCGGTCGGCGAGTAAGGGCAGCTCGCCGCCCAAACAGAACCAGGCCCGAGCGTACGGCGCGTAGCGTTCCGCGCGCGCCACAAAGAGCCAATAGACCACCACAGACGGGGCCCTAAAGGGCTGATGTTCAGCCGGGGTTGCGGGATAAGCGCAATGAGGCACCGCGACCTCGGCTCAGAGCAGGAGAAGGAACAGGGGGTTTTAAGTCAGGAAGAGACTGAGAAGTCATTTGATGATTTTCCCCTCACAAAAAAAACCGTAACCCTTTAAAGACCACATTCCTAAGTTCTCTGGTATTGCGAGTATACTTTGCTTACCATCAGAAGAGTCATGACCACGAGTCATAAAAATGGCCTTGTGAGAATTGAACGAAAGTTAGGTTGCTTATTTTATTTGCCCATGATGAAGTTGTTATGATTGTTGTTGTACAAAGTACAAATTATTGATGTCAGTCGCGCGCACAGTCAGCAGTTCCACACTGACCCAAACATTTAGTTTTAATATTAATATTATTATAAAGTTAGTAAACGATCGGTCACCATCTAAGCGTTTGCTCACACCATTAAGTAGGACCATTTTACCCAATATACAATATTTTTACTATACGAGTTTTGACTATTTATTTGTCGGATTTACGCCCAAAATTGGTCCTTCGAGCCAGATTGAACCAGCGACCTATAGATAAACTTTAAAATTATAAATGACATTGACATACCTATTTGCATTAGACCATTGCAGAATACTTCACAAAACTTAGAAAATACGCAATTTGAATATCATAATTGAAGAAAAGATTAGATGATGATCACGTTATAGAAAGACTAGCTTTTGCCCGCGACTTCATTCGCGTGGAATAGTGACTTCCTGCGGATTTTTGGTATAAAACTATACTATGTCCGTTCTGGAGTTCCAAACTACGTCTATACCAAATCTCACAGAAATCTGTTCTTTAGTTTAGGCGTGAAGAAAAGACCGACAGACATACATAGTTACTTTTGCGTTTATAATATTAGTTTGGATAAGGAACTGCCATACATATATAATGTCTAAAATAGGATCACCAAGTTCAGAACCCCTGCAAAACATAAAAGTACCTTGACAATTATATTTCATCATACATACGGGTAATTAAAATATTGGAGCAGGTCGTGCTATCGACCTAACTACAAAATATTTTTGTCTTGTCAATGTGAACAGATTTTTAGATTTATTCACATTTGCTAATAAATCACATAGCTACTTTTTTTTTTAAATTGCGCCTCGTTTTTTAAAGGTTTTCGTTAAAAACTAATTTGGAACATATCAACGGGGTTTTCTCGTGTATCTTACTCAAGCACATTTGTGTTTTTGTAAATCTTTACTTTATAACATTATTTTAGGAGCTCGCTCACAAAACTATTTGACGAGGTAACTTGACTAGTTTCAAGCGACGCAAGGGAATCATATTCGTGTGCAGCATTAATTGAAGAGGCGCGACGAATTGAAAATTTAAAAATGTTTATCTGTTTAACTATCACTTGTGATTGTAAATAAACATACGTACAAACGAACATATGGACCCGTTACACCAGAGGAGTGACGAGTACAATGCCTGTGGTGTTTATTTTTTTATGATAAAATACAATCCATGATTGCACAAACCTTTCTGTGTAGTCTTCCTACAGTTATAAAGAGCTTCCTTGTTTCCTTGTTGCATTACACTCATTGAATAAACATAGTAATACAGTTAAAATAACAAAAAAAAACAACGACAAAAAATTTTCAACACATTTATTTTTCAATATTAAATGACTGTTTCCTAAACATACGACATGGTGTTCGAAGAGTTTAATGACAATAATTTAAAGAGTAAAATTATGGAAAAGGGTGGTGTCTTTCCATATTGCAGACCTAACACAGGTGTATATTTTATGACAAAATATTACCCTGTGTCTTTTTATTGATAGCTTAGAGTTAATCTTTCAAATAAGATAAATACTTACAATCTAATTCAAACGCCTGTAAACACTAATCGACTCAACTTAACTGTTCGAGAATTTATAAAAAACATTAAAATAAGTATAATGAGTTTTTTGTTTACATACTTGAACGTTATTAAGAAGGTTTGCATTAAAAAAAATAGTTTTTATTGCCGCTTTTAATTTAAGTGCTGGCCAAAAACAAAGAAAGCGTAAAATGTATTTGAAAATGGAATTAAGAAAAAAAAGAAGTCAGAAGATAAGTAAAAATTAGTCTGAATTAATAATGAGTCGAAAAAATTGAAAGTAAACAGTAGCAAGCATACGATACGTTTAGCAATGCGTTTAGCATATTTTAGCAAATGTAATTCTGGAATTGTATTAACGTTGATTCATTGTTTGCAATGCGATGAAAGTGTTAATTACGCTCGCATCTATATTTTTATATCTTCAAGCATCCGTGTACCCTTTCCCTGAACGTTAGAATTGTGAGTTTTTATCTTAAGTGAAAGATTATCTCGTGAGCGCTTTGCAGCCGTCTTAAAGAGTGGATATGAATTGTACATGAACTAAACAATGAATGGCGATACAAACTAGTATCATTGCAATTGTTGCACAGAGATACACATTACACCGTAACGCATGTTACGGTCTCAAGTTATTTGATGGTCGATAACTTGAGGTAAATTGAGTAAAAATGATTTTATAAAATTAAAAGGCCTATCAAGCCCTTCCGACATACGATGGAAACAAACAATTTAAAATGAAGTGTTCGCAGGCCAAGACAAAAGAAACTGTGCAGTCTTGTCGGAAGGATGTAATTACAATAACCATTCTAAATATTGCGTTGGTAATTACGTATTTGCACTTAACCCCTTTACTTTAAAATTTATTTAGGAATAACATTACATTTACGCCCCTCACTAATATAAACCTAACAATAACACATTCTATTCTAACTCTATGTACAAAATTATAAAACGAGTAACAATAACATTTAACTACACACATCAAAGGAATTCAATAATGGCGGATCTAGTCGCCTTGTCGATCACAAGCTGGTCGTATCTTTATTATATCTATAAATAATGATCGTGATCTGATTAAATACTTTGGTCTCTTACGCGATACAGATGTTAGTTATTTAGAAGAGCAACTTAAGTTTAGAACATTATTTACAAGACAACATAAACAAATATTTATCCCATTCGCACGTTGTTCATATTTCAACAACAGAACAAAATATGGCAGTACGCGATTTACACTCCTGTTTGGTTTTTTCACAAATCGATTACGAATATCGATATATCATTGAGTTCTCGATTGTCTCAGTGTATCGGGAAGTACGGCGGAGTGATCGTTGGTAAGTGGTCGCCGCATCGAGGGAAGTTCGGAGGCACTGGGGGCAGGTCCCCTTGTGTGCCGATGTGAAGAATGAGGTTCATTCCTATTACTATATGGTAGATGAAGTGACAGTGGAACAACCAGTACCCTGAAAGGAAACATAAATATTAGAATTGAGCATTGATTATTCCATTATGAATATTGTTGAAATAAGTTCTGCGAATGACAAAGAAACGCTATTGGATAAAACTTATTTGCTTACTAATGTTTGAGGTTTGTTTTTCTTTATGGTGTGGCGTAATTATGTTTATTAAAATCTTTAACCCAACAGTGTGAGAGCGAAATTATTGGTACAGAGATAGTTTTTTACTATGGGTTAATTTTTGGTTTACTTAGTGTAAACCTTATTTCCAACGGAATAAATGCGAAAAAATATTACCTGGGTTATCAGCTTTCAGTCTTAATACGACGTACCCATTGTTGGGTACAGCGAGAGTATCTTTAAAGGGAGGGAGATTGTACTGCCTGTGTAGGAGACCCTTCCTGTCCAGGTCCAGGGCGTGTTTAAGATTAATCTTCTTTATATTTTTGTCTGGAGATCTTCCGATACCAATCACGTTGTATGGAGTACCGTGAAGGTGGAACGGATGAGACAAATTCGGCGATTGTACTGAAATGAAAGCAAGTATATGGTGAGAAAGATGTAGGAATGATGGATTCTTAAGCAGTGACAGGAAGTGTCACTCGCAACCCCTTTTTGAAAGGGAAAATTATTAAATGACTTCTTTCGCCTAGGGGACGGCGAGAGAAAGTGTCAGACTCCTACTGACTAAAAAGCCCCCGTTCTTTCTCTTGCTCTAGGCCAAGGCAGTACCTTATTGTCCTTGATCCGTAACCAAGCTGACTAATTCTTAACCTCTTCTCTGCCGGTATATAAGACACAATAGAAAACACATTGTGTGTCGCGTATGTCTGCGCTCTGGCATCTTAGCATGGCAAGGTCAAGAGTATAAGACGTGACTAAAACGTCGAATCTAATGTATACATTATTAGTTTCTCTAGTTCTTGGATGTAGGTCTTTTTGTGTCATCAATCTATTCCAATATTACAAAGAGGTAAAATTTGTAAGTTTGTATGAAGGTAATCTTTGGAACCGCTGGTCGGATTGCCAAAATTCTTTCACTGATAGACAGCTACAATGTTCCTGAGTGCTATAGGCTATAAAACATCACGTTACGATCAAATGGAGCTGAGCAGCGGGTGAAACCGCGCGAGAGTAGCTAGTACTTAATAAAAATCCATTTACCTTCGTCAACGAGTACGATTTCTACAATTGAGTTGAGTGGTACATCGATCATATGCGTGCAGCGGCAGTCG